CACTACAAAGTCTGAACCAGTGTGCACAAAAAGCTTACGGGAATGACAGCTTAGGACGAATCCGAAAACAAGTGAAACATCTGTGCACCCGATTGCGAATTAAGTTGCGTACAGAAAGAATCCAGTAATTCTGACGCAAAACATGCATCAAAAATTAAGGGCCAGCGCGACAATTAAAAGTATAGGGTGTCTTTGATCGAAACTTAAATGCAAGTTAGATAAGCATCCACCCACTCTAATAATTCCATTTTTTAATAAAAATGGTTTTAGGCGTTGAAAAGTTCGACTAAAAATCTTGCCAAGTTTGCAATCAAACTTGCAAAGTGCAAACGTTGAAGCTCACGAAATATTGTTGCGTGAATAAGTCAACTAGCGCCATCTAGTATCAGGAACGAGAGCGAGGGGAGCTTTGCAGAAAATGACATCACAAATCTCTCAACCGACAGCGCCATCCGAAGAACTAAGTTTCTAGAAAATCTACACTCGCACACTCGTCCCTTTGCGCGCATTTACTTGAATATTCCGGATGCTTCTTTGGTAATTTATATAAATAGGCGCTGCAAGATGCGATCGAGGCAGTATTGGAATTGGCGACACAAGCGAAGCTTCGGAGCGGAATAAAGTGAATTAGTGTGTTTAATTATTAGTGTTTTAAGTTTTAATTTGTGTAAAGTAAATTAAAGTGTTAATTTAGGTAATTTTATCGGCAATTTTTATTGTCACGAACCTCAAGCTCGTAACAATATTAATAATTCTGCATACCTGTAGTCGGCCGCAGTGATATAAGGACGTAGCGACAAAAGCTTAACAAATCGGCAAATGTAAATTACGCTACGCAATAATTTCGACCAGGAAGAGAAACGACTAGCTAAAGCAATGATTGGAGAATTCTCACTTAAAGCACTCGCAACCAGGGAGTGCCTCTTCTCTTTTAGGGGTTGAGATACTGACGAAGGGTCAAAATCAGCGTTTTAACTGAATCTAAGAAGGTCCTTGAAATCAAAGCGTCGTCACGTCTTGTATCTTGGCCACTCCATTCGCGACGATAGTATCCAAACGATGGGGTAAAGAATGAATCCAAAATAAAGGGTCTGTAGAGTCGGAAAAGGCATGTATTTTATCGATATGAATTCGACCATTACATGCACTAATAAAGCCGTGATAAGCTTGGTAAGAACCAAAATTGCGCAAAGCCCGGGGCGCGCGAGAGAGACAACCTTACGAGGGGAAATATTTATAACGAATAGAAATATTTATATGACGTGGTATTTTAATTTCACTTAGTAAAGAGAGTTACTCCCTAAAGCGTAGGTAAGAATGCACAATGTTGTCAGGCGGTGTGTCCTCCCAATCACATTCACACAGCCAAAGTTGCTTAATCAAAAGTTTAACGTGCAACATTACCGGTACTACAAAACCTATGACATCCCATAATCTAGCGACACATGATAATATCGTGCGCTTTATGCAGTTCTCAGCGGGCGTTTTTACCTTAGCGTCACAGCTCATTAGAGCCACCCGGCACCCGGCCCTCAACGCCTCGTCACAGGCATCCACTCGTAGTCGACAAGTGGACCACAGGTGAACCACGGGTGGACGCCGCGTTGTCACCAGTTTACCTCGCGTGGTCATCGAGTGGACCTCGCGTCGTCAACGAGGGGACCTCGCGTGATCAACGAGTGATCCTTAAATCCTACAATAAATTATACTTCCGAACTTCTTCTATAAGTTTTTCTTTGTTCATTTTAAAAACAAACAACAATGCCTCCGATACATTCGAAAGAAAGGCTCGAAATTAAAAGTTGGTGAAGAGCGCCGCATCGCACTCGCGTGAACCGCTCGTTGCCAGCTCGCGCTTGCCATTCGTGGCAATCGTGCCAAAAGCGAGCTATCATCGAGTGGTCCACTCGCAGTCGAGGCGATCCGGTGATGGGAACGGAGTTGATGTAGTGAGCGCGGGCCCATACAAATCCATACGAATAATACCAACCGCTCGAGGCGAGGTGGTAGGGTCGAGTGGCTCTAATGAGCTGTGACTTTAAGTATGTCTTGTCCTTAAGACGTCTGACTCGGGTGATCAACACAAACCGAGCACCTTGTGCGTATCAGAATCATCAAATTCTTTAAAAGCTGAAAGACGGTGTGATAGTGGGATTGTATTCAAAACAGTACGCGAATTACTCGTCTACTCGATGACATCGAATTCACCTGCTTTCATGAGTTTTATAACTTCGGTGGTGGTTGAGATGGCTTCCTCTACATTATCGACTGAGTATAAAAAATCGTCCATATACAAACCACTCTCAATTGCCTCCCTAGCTTTAGGATAAGAGGATGCCTCATCATCAGCAAACTGCTTCATGCGCAGCTCATAAAATGGGCTTGACTTTAAGCTCAACAAAGGCAGTTAAATTCGAAAATGACATTCGTATTGACGGTCACGATCACGGAACCTAATGCAAAGAAACTTTTGACGAATATCAGCGGATAATCCAATACAAAACAAGCCAGAATTTAACTATTATATTAAATACGAGTAGGTTGCCCTGTAAATTTTGCCCACTATAAAGAATGTCGTGAAGGGAAAGGCGAGTGCTATTTTAACGCCAGCATCGAGCACTACATGCAACTTAGATGTGAGTTTGTCTTCTCTATTGACACCTTGATGTAATATGAAATATGACAGCATGTCTTTACAGCCAGCTGAACCGTGATTATCCAAAATTGACATCTGGAACTACTTAGAAGCTGGACACGGCGAAGGAGCACCAGACGGAGTTGGTACTATTCTCAAGCCAACAGCAGATCAAGTAGACCACTTTGGCAGTGACGTGGACTCATTAGAATATTTCTTAGCCTGTCTTAGACCCAGAGTGAAGATTAACATTCCCATTGTAACAAGAAAAGACTTTGAACCATGAAGTTTTCCAATAGCTCTAAAAACACGTAGATATACGTGGTAGAGCCACGCCGCAGTTATATTATGGTTGTAGCACGAATGGGTCGGCTCGACTTGGAAAAACCACTTTACTGAAAACGAGGCACTCAATCTTAGTCCTCAGGGGTAACAACGCATCCGCGTTTTGATTCTTAAGCGAGTATAAATGTAGATGTCTATGGGCCACAGAATCCACATACTATCAGGTGGACTGTGTACTCGTTTGTCACCCTTATTCTATAAAAAAGCGGCCAAAGGTACAATTATGGTGCACCAAGTTCTTTGGTCATTTGGGTGCTCTAAAATAAGTCTAAGAAAACTAAGTTGTTTTCAGTATAACTTAGATGCCATAAACATTCTTGTAAACGACATAGTCACTATGCTTAACCTGAAAATAAAGGTAGCTGATCTTTTATTGATCTAACTTAAGCATATGACATGATAGATTACGAGTTACTTCTTGCTAAACTGGAATATTACGGTGTTAGGGGAAAAACGTTAAAACTGTTGACATCTTATCTACAAAACAGACGAATGTATGTTGAAATAAAATATATTGATGAAGACAAACACGAAATAGTATATAAATACAATGCAAATTGTTTTATGAATAAATAAATAAAAATATAAAAAGTGTGGCAATAAACTTATTTACAGTCATAAGTAAAAAAGGGAATAATACTTCTCTGACAGAATCAGAAATTCATTATACGTAAGAGTACAAATAAAGAACATCAATGAAAATAAAGACGAATCAAGGGAACGGAAGGAGAAGAAAAGACTGATTGACTTTTTGGGTGACACTCATGAAAAAGTTATTTTTGATGCAACAAATAGATGAGAATCTATTAAAAAATCTATTGTATTATTACAAAAATAATTGTATTGATAAACCTGCGAATTAGTCAGTATTATAGTTTCGGCGATAATGCTAGCGAACATTCGTTAAAGTAGTAAATGCTCGTCAATTTATCTGTTATTTAACATTCACTAGAATTATCGGGTTTATCAGCACTATTATAAATATAAACTTAGTTGTTTTAAGCCCAATTAGTTAGTTTTTGCAAAGAAAACCTTTTGATCGTTGATCTCTCTGATTATAGTTAATTTATATATAGGAACATGAATTTAAATTAATTAAATTTTCTAAGAAAGACAAGAAAAAATTATCTTTTTGACTACATTGTCTAAGATGGACATATGAAAAACACCAAGTCTTGATAATTAGTTTATTGTAATACTTTTTATAACACAGTTTTTAGAAAAGTTGTCTATCGTAATAACAAAGAGATGATATTGTACAAAAATTTGAAGGTAGTGACACAGTTAACTAGCGATAAATATAATAAGTTCTGGAGAATGTCTTACAAGTTTACTGTTTAACTCACACATATGCACCTTAAACCATTTTACTGGTTGCAAATTATATTAGACACATTGGTGCTAGTTTTACAATTAGTTGATCATACTTTTGGCTTATTTTTTGTTTCACTTAAAACGTATACAGCGCTCAATCTGGATCTATATTTTAAGAAAATTGCAATTAAGAATCAATACGTATAAATTACCTCTGTCTGACAATATGCAAACTGTTTTTTCTGGAGCTACTAAAAGGATTTTCCATCCCCTAAATTTTATTTAAGATTTTGAAAAACCTACAACTTTTTATACTTTATATTATTAACAGTATTCTGTTATAGAATATCGATCAAAGCTACTAGACAGTCGCTCGTATGAAATTTTCGGTTAAAGTTCCTAGTGTTCCCTCTAGATATGGTAAAACTAATATTACTATTTTAATCATGCATCTCATTAAGTGTCGTCACAATTTGTAGAAGACCCATTCTCCATACAAAAGAAATTGTCTCCTCCTGCATTGAACAAATCAAGAACAGCGAACATTAAATTACATAATGGGTATAAAATAATTGAGATGATGAGATTGATATAAATAAAATAGGAATGAGTGAATATAATTAAAATCTACGAATCATTAATATTTTTAATACATAACCCTATGCTAAAACTCATCTTAATTAAATATTTGTATAACAATACATATCTAATCTAGTTTTTTATTGACTGATCCATTTGCCACGGAGTCGATACTAATACTATTCGAATTAAGTTTATTTTTGCTAATATAAGAGTTGACATAGAATTTAGCAAAAAGGTAAATAAATAGTAAACCATTTAACAGGATTGCTGCTAATATTGTGTATGAAGGTGGACACCCTGAATAAGCGTAATTCACTGCCGCGTGTATTATTACACACATAAACTGCAACTGAAAAAAGAGAATATTGTAAGTTGTCTCTCTGTATATTAAAATGACATATTGGTTGTCTCGAAAATAATCTACAGTAATCTAAAAAATAAATACTAATATATACAGCGCAAAAGTTTTATTTGTTTTTTTTTTCTTTGCTTAAACACGCATTTCTATGGAACTACTAGTCCGTTTTGTAAATTCATTTGTGCATCCTAGATAGATTCATGAGAAATAGTATTATAGGCTATCTAACATTAGGGTACACATCTCAGCAAGCCTTAAATACTAATTTTAGTTAAGTAAGTCAGAAGAAAAACGCTCCCGAAATGGATTATCTGCGTGCGCTGCATAATGATTGGTGTTACGCAAACATAATGGCATACAAAAGTATAGATTTTTACTCCGTCTAAAAATTTCGCCATACCATATGCCTATTTCTTATACATAAGCTAAAATAAGACATATTGTGATTTTTTATTGAGAATTAAAATGTGATTCATAAGTGTTATTACATTCGTTGACGCCTCCTCTGAGTTATTTTACTATGTAATCAAGAATTGACGGAGCGAGTCACACGAGTTTTAACTTTCCGGCGGAGAAACAATATGTTTACTGGTATCCCAACCAATATGAATTCCCACTGACAACACTTTACACCTCATGTCATTGGGTGCGTTTGGCAGAAAAAAGCGTTAGCAAGCGCTTGTAAGCAAAATGGCGATCGTAAGCGGTAAGCGCTGTCAAATCGTAAGTAGCTATTTTCCTCTAGGACACGAAGTTAGTTTTAACCGGGGAACCTAACCTAATTTAAATATATCTTTGTAAAGTATTCATATTAAAAACTTACCAATCATGAATTTTTAATAACATGTATATGTTTATTCATGTCATTATATTACTTAAAACTAATATTCCACAAAACAACTTGTAAACTCTACTCAAAACAAACAAAATAAATAAGCAAAATGGCGGATTGTGTCAGCGCTACTGAAGTAGCAATCGTGTCCTGGCCGAAAACTATTTCAGCGCTTGTAAGCGCTTGCTAGCGCTTTTTTCTGCCAAACGCACCCATTGTAAATTTTTCGTGGCAAACATGGAGGTTAGAGAAACCTCTATGGTGCCGAATCAGCGAGTCGCATCTTCAAATTAAAACGATTGAAATTGATTTTTCAAGTGAAAGTTCTAGATTTTATTATTAGCAAAAGGTGAAAACAAATTGAAACATAAACGTTTTGGACGATTGCAATGTATGTAATTTTTGCATTTAAGTAACTTGTTGGGTAGATTAATTATAACGTGAAATGTAAAATCTATACATGAGACAGAACGAGCGTCCGTAAGGACATAATATAGTTTTTATATATTGAATGTGTATTTTGCATATGTGTTTAAATAGTCTGTAGGGTAGATTTATAAAACGCAAAACATGAAATATATGTATGAAATAGAACGAGCGCATCTACATACTTTTTAATCAAATTGATATGTATATTGATTTATTAAAAATCTTATCACTTTCAGTCAATGATATTAAAAAAGTAGAAAATAATATAATTGCTTGCAGTATAATAAAATCGCAATATAAAATATGTGTATGAGACAGAACGAGAGTCTGTACATTACATATCGTACATTACATGCCTTGCGGTGCCACGAGGGGGTACACGAAGCATTTAATTTCATTTATATGAATATTTATAGTTCATATTTTCCACCAAAGTATATATAATATTATTGCTATTATAATAAAAAATCAAAATAATACCTATGCATGAGATAGAATGACAGTCTATACATTACATATCTGCCTTGCGGTGCCACGAGGGATACATAAGGCATTGAATTTCATTTTATATATATATATGTATCATATGTATAATCAAAATGAATATAATACTATTTCTCACAGTGTAATAGAAACGCAATATAAAATCTATGTTTGAGACAGAACGAAAGTCTATACATTACACATCTGCCTTGCGGTGCTAAGAGGGTAAGAGGGTAAAAGGTACATGAAGCATTGGATTCAGTTTCACATGAATATTCATATGTTTTTTTTACTACAAAAATGTGTGCAACGGTTATTATACTCGCATTACTACCGGCGGGTACACGAGGCTATTTTCACAACTGATATTTCACACTTGACACTTTCGGACAAATGAGGAGACAAATTATTTGCTCGAATTATGCAGAAGATAACGATTCAGTTTCACACAGCAATTTCAACCTCAAGAAGTTATTAATCTATTGTGTATTAAACGAAAAACTGCTTTTCAAATTCTCAGTAAAAATCAGTATATTGTGAAAAAGAAATGGTGAGTTCCGGGGTTCCTAAGCAAGCCTATCAAAAGATTACTATAAAAATACAGTATTCAAAATAATTGAAACACGCTTGTAATACTTTTTCTTTGTCAGTCTGATAGTTATTAGGCTACTTACGAAGGTATGGTCAGCGAAGCTTTAAGACCGAGCAAACAAGTACCCTTGAACACCTGTACTTAAGTTCTTCTTATTTTTCGCCTCGTCAAAGCTTTGAATGTCTAGTCGGTTTTTAAACCCTGATGAAAACAGACGGGTGTTATAAGATTGTTGTGTGTGTGTTGTGAAGATCATTAGCTCTTTTTATTTCGGGAACTGTTATTTTTTTTGAAGTGAAAATTTCTTTACCGGCGTTGTACACTTTTTTGTAATGGGTAAAAAATGTTAAACTCGCGTCAGGACACGTGACCTGATCGAAAATTCGTAAGATGAAAACTTCTTTAGCGGCGTTGTACACTTTTTTTGTAATGGGTAAAAAATTTTAAACTTGCGTCAGGACACGTGATCTGATCGAAAATTCGTAAGATGAAAACTTCTTTAGCGGCGTTGTACACTTTTTTGTAATGGGTAAAAAATGTTAAACTTGCGTCAGGATACGTGACCTAAACTATTTTTTAACAAGTACATAACTGCATTAAACTCTTTTGTGGCTCATACAATTTAAAGCCTCCTTTATGAACTGTATTACTGCTATCAGAGCTAATCGATGATTATAATTAATGCTCTTAAGAAACCCAAGTTACTTCTTATTTGGTAAATATTGGCACCTGTCTCCATCGGTAACAACTCACTAGGCATTCAATAGCCTCCAGCCGTTGCTCTACACCAGCAGAGGAGATATATGTGGCAGACGCCAAATCCAATCATCGAGGAAAAAATAATAGAGGTAAACATAGCTAAAGAGGTAAGTAAATTTACTTGACCTTAGTTTATTCCAAATAGTCTAAATACTATATAAAAAAAATGTTTTATATGTAGTGGATCAACACCAGTTCATTAGAGTGTGAGTAAAGCATGTTCTCCCACATATATTGAGTTTAGTATGTCAGAAAATATTGTATTTATACAGCTGTAAAATTAATTAAAACAAGACTAGTCTTAATTTTGTTTTTACTTATTAGTAAATACTATGATATTCATAGATGATGAGATTCAGAAAATAAAAAGTAGAAAGTTCTAGAATTGCTGTTAATAGGATTATAAAGTTAATTCGAAATGAAAAATATATTACGTGAAAATAAATTTAAATCACTTGGTATTAATTTATAAAATATAGCATTTTCATACCGTAACACAAATATTTCACATGAATGAAAAGTCAATTATTTAATTACAATCCACTACAATAATATATAATGAACTTTTACAAAATGTTTTGAATTTATTATGTGCTTTATCTTGAATAAAAAGAATAATTTTGTATCTAAATTAACACTGAAAAATTATATTCAGATTTCAAGTAATCCAATTACAGGGGGTGCTTATAAAATGAAATTCATTTCAGTTCATAGTGGTGTGATATCACCAACTGGCGCAGGGAGTCGAAGGATCGCGACAAGTGGAGGAATATTGTGGAGGAGGCCAGGGCCCACAAGGGGCTGTAGCGCCACAGGACAGGACAGTGGTGTGATATAGTTTTTGGTCAAATAACTATATGAGTTTTAAGAAAGACAAATCATATTTAACATAAAGTAAAAAAAGTCTAGTTGCAGCCTATATACTACTATATACGTACCACTGCTGGGCACAGGCCTCCACTCATTTTTGAGAGGGTTTTAGGGAATTGTCCGCCGCACTGCCCCAATGCGTGTTGGCGAACTTCACATGTCTTCGAAATATTTTTTTCCTTATTTTTCTGACATGCAGGATTCCTCACGATGTTTTCCTTCACCGCAGAGCACGTGGTAAATCAGCACTTAAAATTAAAATTAACAATTTCATTGGTGCCGGCGGGGATCGAACCCGGTTTGCTCGCGTACTGTGAAATTTACAGCGAGCGCTAACCATCTGAGCTACCACATATTTAACATATTTTAATATATTAAACAGCACAATCATTTTTTTAAACAATAGGCTGGTACTACTTTAATTTTTACTTTAGATCGTTACGTTTTGTTATACCCCATAGCTAAAATTTGTTACAATACTACAGCTATATCACACATAAACCGTATGGTTGGCATGTAATAACCCCATCAAGTTACATAGTTTGTAAAATCGATCTTGTAAAATATATGTATTTCTTGTTTGTCTTATAAGAAACATGTTAAGGTAATTCTCTGGAATGCAAAGAATATATAAAAATAAATGACGAAATAAAATGGGAATCAAATTACTAAACCTAAAGGAAAATTTTCTCATCGAAGTTTATAAACTGACGTTGATGCATTTGCTATTAGAAAAAATATAATAGTGGTGTTGGCAGTGGTGGTGCTGAGAGTGGTGTTGCAGGAATTAATGGTACCGTGAGTGGTGGTGCTGGGATTGGTGGTGACGAGGATAGTGCACGTGTTAGATTATTATAGACCATAAGGAGGGTAGATGATATAAAAACTAGTTTGTAAGGTAGTTGATATATTTTATTATGCTACCTACCCGCAAAACAAGATTGTCAGTACTTTGGATTTAAATAAGTTTGTATCATGTCATCTACTTCCGGATCTTGGTTCACAAGCACATCGAATTATTATGCGCTGACTAATACTGAAATCATTACTTTCATTTGTTGGATTTACAAGATAAATTAATAAAAGTTAATAAATAACAATTAAATAGTAAAAACTGACGTGATCCTACTTTGATATTATAGATTGTGTATAAAGGTTGGCTGTGACGAATAGATCAATCAGTCAGTTGTCTTGTAACCGCCAACCAGTGAACAAATAAAAGGAGTAACTCTGTTAGTCCGCTGTAAGGAGCCGAAAGGCTAAGTAACCTATTTTATTGGACCGAAATACTTAAGCTAAGTCACTTTGTATTTTGTTATTGTACTATATCCTTTAAATGTTAATTTCGTGTATATTCGTGTTCTATCTGTGTATTTAATAATCGATAAAATAATATATTGTAAAATAACATTATTTAAAAGGAATATCACGCCGGGTTTTTTTCCAGGAAAGAAGTTTTTTCCTAGCCAGTGGTAGAAGTTCTATAATAAAAAATATAATTGTATTATATTCTAAAGACTTTCCCTATAACCATACATTTAATTATAATATTTAAGGACTTTTTATGTGTCTCTACATTTTAATTAATCTAACAACAGAAGTAGGACAAGTTTCCTATTATTGCTAACATGGGCTAGACATGTGAATTGAAATTATAAATAATTAAACAAAATAAAATATACCGACTACCTTACATAGTAGTAGTTAGATCACGTACCGTAATCAAATGCCGTTAAACGCGTGTGTTACATTATTGTCTATAATAATCTAACACACGCTTTTGAGGAAGGGTTGGAGGTGCTTTTCAAAATGAAAAACTAGAAACTGGACTGGAAACTAATAAGCGACAGCAGCCTAATGGCAGGGCGCTGACCGGGAACTCTAAAAGGTCGTGGTTTCGAATCCGCCATTCGACTACTGTCGTGAATCACTCGTAACACAAGCAATTTAAGTTTACCACGAGTGGTTAAGGGGAATATTAGTAATGTTTATAGCATTGTTAATATTCTTTAAAAAAAACTAGAAATAACCAAGTTAAGTTCTAACTACTTCAATATAATGGATGGATGAAATTAATAATATTGTTACGCGCCTAGGTCGACGTCATGTACGGGGAAGTTGATTGATTTCGAGAGAGTAATGCAGCTAACGGCACCGCCTGGCGGCGTCAGGATCATCGTTCCCCTCACGTTGGGGAGGTTGCAGCAGTTACGGTTCGCGACCACAATAAAGGATACAGCCCTAGGTGCTATGGCTGTGGGGAAACGGGCCACCTCCGATCCAGCTGCCCTAAGCGAACCCTAGAAAGAGAAGGTGAACGATCTCAGAAGGGAAGTGTGGCTAACATCACCGCCCAGCAGCAGCCGGGATACAACTTTACTATCAGACATTGCAGCGGGAAATCTCATGGCAACGCAGATGCATAGCCAAGAAGACTTTGTCCTGAAGATTGGAAACATTATACTAGGCAAGAGAGTAAGGAAGTGGTATCCGTGAGGATGCTCAGGACAGACCACCTCAGCAACGAGTGGAAGGACAGCCTACGACATGCACAGCAGGAAGATCCGGACATCAAGCCGATTCTGGAATGGATGAAGGCCCGTGCTACCAAGCCTAAGTGGAGGGACGCCTCAACGATGAGTTCAACCACGAAAAGCTATTGGGCCCAATGGGACAGCTTGCTGATTCAGGATGGAGTCCTGTGCCGTAAATGGGACAATGGTCGAGGAGACAGCTGTCGTTTGCAAATGGTTGTCCCTAAAGCTAAAGTGCCGAATATTCTACAGCTGTGCTATAATGGTCGTTCAAGAGTCCATCTGGGAGTTAAACGAACTCTACTGAAGGTCCGAGAACGGTTTTACTGGGTCCATTATCGTGACGATGTCGAGGATTGGTGTCGTACATGTACAAGTTGTGCGGCTGTGAGGGGACCTCAGATACGTAGTAGAGGAGCATCGAAATTGTACAATGTTGGTGCACCACGGGATAGGACAGCCCTTGACATTGCGGAACCGTTACAGAAAGGCACAAGAGGGCAACTCGAACTCTCGACGCATTGCGCGTGTTTACTTGAATATTCTGGATGTTTCGGTGCTAATTTGTATTTATAGGCACTGCAAGATGCGATTGGGGAAGTATTGAATTCGGCGAGACAAGCGAAGCTTCGGAGCGAAATAAAGTGAATCAGTGTGATTAATTTTTAGTGTTTTAAGTTTTAATTGGTGTAAAGAAAATTAAAGTGTTAATTTAGGTAATTCTATCGGCAATTTTTATTGTCACGAACCTCAAGCTCGTAACAATATAATGGATTTCTGCAAAGTAACGCCTGATTGTTTTAATTATAATATACGGATCGACAGACAAAATTCATGAAATTAAATAAATAGGCTTTAAGATCCGTTATATAGTTGTCGTAAACTTGATTCTTTTCATCAAATATTAGGATATCAGTATATGTTATGGTTGTGAATGGTCGGTTTAACCGTGAAAACGCACAATAACAGCACAATGTTGCTGTGTGTCTTATGATGAATGTAGAAAACCGGAAAACCATTTTACTGGTAATGAGGCACTACCAGTAAAATGTTATTTCTCAGGGTCGTCAACGTATCTACATTTTTATTCTTAATGAAGGAAAGATGTAGGTGTCTAGGACCAGAACATCCACTTACACAGAATATGTTTTTTTTTTAATTTATTTCTTCCAATTATACAATAAACGTTTTTAACATTTTTATCTGCCAAACTGCAGTACAGTTTGTCGGCAGTAGTTCTCGTCTTACATGCTTATGTTTATACATATAATCTGAAGTATAATTTCTTATACATATACTAATATCTCCCAAAATCTATTTTATTATTTTATCTATACACATTTAGTACAAAGTTTGTTATGAGGTCCACATCAGCCAAATATCAAAATTGGTTAATTATTTTTTTTTATATACATACTGTATATACACATATACACTAATTCAACACATACTCAAACAGCACACATCGCATATAGACTGCTAATTAGTGCTCGTTTATAACCGCCTTTTTATTTACGAAAAAAATAAATACATACGCAAATTATCAACAGCTTATGGCAGCGTAACATAAACCTGTATAATTCCACTGATGTTGTTGGAGGCGACATAGGGAAACAAATGGGAGATAAAAATAAATATCTCTTGTCGCCAACACGATTACCAAGCGTGGCAACTATGGCAAATATCCACCTATGTAACAATGCATGAGAGAGCTATCTTCAGTAGCAAACTTTAGATAGGATTCATCTATTTTATTATTATAATAATAAAAGCTATTATTTGATTACTACTTACGATTTGCATCAAAGTAATATACTTTTTCCACCATAAATATTTATTGAGATCGGGGAATGCCGATAACGCATAATAGCCATACATGATTATATGAACGAAGGAGTTAATGGTCCCAAGGAATATGAGGCTGTAGGAAGGTTCATATTTCAAAGAAATCCAAGTGCCCCACATCATCAAGCAATGGTGATATACATGCAAGAATGTGACCTGACGATAGTTTTTGCGCAATACGAAGAATATCGTGTCCACCAACTCCATTACTTTGGCAAAGAAATAATAGTAGATACCAGTTGATACCTGAAAAGAAATAATTAATATGCATATTTTTCCAATGTCAGAGGGATGATTCAATGGTGTAAAGTACAAAAACACAAATGTATATTTGAGGACTTTCCAGGGGCCACTGACTATATTGTAGAACCTGTCATTCCTATCGTTTGACGGTTGGCAACTGTATATTATAACCGATCCATTGCTCTTCAGTTTAATAACCTATTGGGCTACGTCGGTTACTCTGGTTCTACTGTGGACATTATTACGTCTCATGTTATATGTCACCATTGGCAACATGCAAGGGTTGTGTACCTTTGTTTCAAGGTTTTGAGGATTAAGTGACGAGATTAGTAGTAATCTCTCGAAGTTTGTAGCTGAATTGAATCCATCAAATGATCACTAGCTGGAAGTTTAGTTTTCTTAATCGAACTATTTTTCCGAGGTTATTATTATTACCGTAGTATTCCTTATAATTAACCGCATTAGTGTACCATAGATGTTCCATAAGTTCTTGTGACTTGTTCATGTTTATCTTAAGACTTTTTCGTTGGGAGACACTATTTTTATAAAAGCAGCTCCCGCAGTCCATGGACTTGCAGCTTGCCAACTTCAAACGAAGATGCTACATATTTGTTGTCATTTATAAGGACTGAAATAGAACTCCTGGCATCTTGTAATAACACTGGTTTTCTATACCTCTATTTCTAATACCTGGTATTACCTACTCATACGAACACCTGGATAGAAAAGGCATCCTACTACCTACCAATAGCAGGGTGCTTAGTTCCTCCAGCAACTCGCACGCAGAAAAGACGTAGACTTTTGTCACGTATGCACGGAAAACTGCTCGTTCATTAGTTTCGAAGTCGTCAAACCTGCATGTGAGTTGATTAGTAATATTTCTTGAAAACGCAGTACGGGGGCGTGGCTCAGAAGAGAAATCGGTATGTAGTTGTTCAATTAAGCGCTGTAGTCTTTCTTTAAGAATAACACTTGTTCTGCTTCACGCCTCCGTAATTGCGCCGAACTGAACAGCTCATGTTTATTGTAGTGTGATAGAAACAGATCAAATACGGGCTGAAGACGTAGCGTCCCTCTTACATTAATTAGACGAAGCTTGTACTTAACAATAAAGTGTACCATGACTTAACTTTGATTTTTGTTAATAAAATGCAACTCACAAGCCATCGAGAGTCTTCTTTATCCATTAGACATGATGAACCCAGCAGGCCATAAGATATAATCAGTCTGGAACCCTAAAAATAATCAGCAAATCAGGATAAATATGGTATATTTATTTATTCATTCATTAATTATTATAGCAATTCACAAGTCCACTACTGAACACAGGATGGCTCTAAAAGTGCCAAAACACGGTCCTGAGCCAACTGCATCCTGTAGGACATCTTTTATATATAGTAAGAGCGACAAAAGAGCACACAATCCACCTGATAGTAAGTGGATTTTGTAGCCCATAGACGTCTACATGTTGTTACATAGTAATTTTTGGTTAAGGATTTACCAAGAATTAAAAATGCAAAAATGGTTTTCTACCCGTGAGGACTAAGAAGAACACTTCACTAACAGTAAACAGAATCTTCGGTTTTCTATACTACCATACGAAACAGCATTTAGCTGCCTTTGCATGCTTTATTCTGTAAGAGCGTGATCCTACCCCGTTCGAGCCGAACCATTCATGATACATAGCTGCAGCGAGACTCTGCACGTATGAAGCGTGACTTTCCCGCTTATAAAAACCAACAAATACAAATAATTGCAGGATATGATTAGCTGTGAAGTGGTTTACTTCCACTAGGCTTATAATAGGTGTTATAATATGTTATAACTGTCCAGATGGAAAAGAACGTTTCAAGGTGCTTTGTCTCTAAAGTAACTAAATTTATACGTCCTTGAATTGCTGTGACCTAGAAAAGTCGTGATTTTAAATAACAGTGTTCAGATAAGTCATTTACCAAAACTCTTATGTCAATATCATAAGTTCTAGGATTAACTTAGAATAATTTGATCCTAATCCTTACTGTTACAGCTTATCAAAAGTCAACAACTACTCATATGCTTCCCTCATAGATCACCTCATAGTAGAGATATTTGGCACAGTTGCCATGCTTGGCAGGCGGGTTGGTGACCGTGGTTTTCTTTTAAGTTGTAATTAGAAAGACTCTGCTGCCTATCTTCTGGATTGTTTGCCTCTGTCGCTTCTTACGACAACCACGGGACTAAATGAGGTAACAGATATTCTTACACTGCTCTTACACTGTCAATTCTAGTACTTTTGATACAGAAAAATCTCTTCTGCTACTAAATAAATCTTATAATAAAAATATACTTACTAATAAAAGTAGAAAACAAGAATATGCCACTTGAAATAAATCGTATAATATTATAATGCTTCTGAATTTGAACGGTTCTCTTAACTTCATAACTTCAGGACCAAGTTTAAATACAAACAATACGTACAATATTGATAAAAACAGTAATGATACGGGCGATTTCATTAGAAACCATTCATCAACATAGTCAACTGAAAATAAAATAAAAATTTAGAATAAAAAATCATAAACATAATTATTAATAAAACTAGTTTTTACAGATTGCAAGCTTCCTGTTAAAACGCACAGTTCCGCATCCAGCGCACAGCGGCTCGAATCGTCGACGACCGAGTGCTTTCCGATCGGCTCAATTCACTGGCGTTGTGAAGAGATGTTGCATCTCTTTGCGTATTTTATCGCATCTATCACGGGGAGTGCTCTGAGGAATTGTTCGCATTAATCCCAGCCGCCAAATTTCGTGAACACACTACGTGGCAAACGTCCCGATACCATCAACACCATCTGAATGCTTGGCGGTTCACCACTGTACGTTTCAGAAGGAATTCCTGAGGAATAGTTTACCACCGGCGATTTTTCCGGACCGGTACGACGTGGGACCTTCAAGAAAAGAGCTTACTTCTTTCTAAAGGGCCGGCAACCCACGTGCAATTCCCCTGGTGTTGCGGTTGATCATTTGCGGCGGTAGTCACTTATCATCAGGTGAGCCGCATGCTCGTTCTTTTATAAAAAAAGTCGCCTGTTATTTCATCGATAGACCAAATATCCTCGCTAAATATCACCGAAACCTTCCAATTCGCGAGGCCAATGAAATGAAATAAAAACATCATAACTTTAATAGGGAAGATAGCTGGGTGCTACCATCTACTTGGGATCCTATAATTAATAAAATTTATTCGCAACCCGAGCATACAGCTGCAAGTTTTTAAGGTAGACTATACGTTCATACTGTGTAGATCGAAGCAAATTATTAATTTTAATCTAAAGGCAGCCGCGGTTAACTATAACATTGGGACTTCAAACACCTCAGTCCCCACCAGACCATTGGTCACGGGTGTTGCAAAGTGCTCGAAGCGTCAGGAATATAAAATAAGTTAATATACGCAATAAAATCCCTAAAAATTAGTTTTATTTAAATATGTAATTCATGTCACACACACACACACACACACACACACACACACACACACACACACACACACACACACACACACACACACACACACACACACACACCACACCACACACTCACACAATTACAAACACACAGTCCACACACACACACACACACACACACACATGCACATCACACTTTTTCTCTTATTTTAATAAATGTAACTGTATAATAGTGTGAATAAAGCAAATATGTGCGAGGGCCTGCTCTACCACGCACAAGTAAATGAATAGGCTTTATAGTCTTAAAAAAAATGAAAATTGTCAAAAACTAAACAAAACAACATTCGTACTAATTTTAAGAACAATGTTGGAAACAATACAAAGGCCCTTTCAATTTTCACAGCTTTCATTTACATTTCTTATCGCCACAATGAACGATATTACTTAAAAACTCCCTAAATAATATAATATATGATATTATTGGATTGGCGGAAATAAGAAGAACAGGTAGTCACATCATAGCACTCGATGAACACATTTTCTGCTATACAGGAGTAACGAAATGTCTGCACGGTGTTGGCTTCTTGATCAAAAAGAAATATAAATCAAATATTCAGAACTATATGAGATTATCGAAAAAAAACCGCACGCATACTGCATGCGGAATCTCCAATTCGAGGCAACAAAAATATCATTAATACAAGTATATGCACCCACCCACGACGGAAGTGACGAAGAAGTGACATCCTTTTAGGATCAACTTCAAACTGCTCACTCACTCGCTAACGCGACACTGTAATGGGTTAAACGCAAAAATTGGACAAAAAAACAAGGAGAAAATATAACAATGGGAACATACTGCTACGACATCAGAAACGACAGAGGCGATCGGATAATGACTTGGCCTGGACCTTGGACTTGGACAAATCCAAACGGAACGATTAGAAACCAAATCGACTACATTCTTAGTACATAGTATATCAGCAGTTTAACCTTTAAAAATTCTCAAATATAGAAACATTAAACAACAACCTATTTACACATGACCACAAATTAGTACATGGTACATATAACCTTGGAAAACTGAAGATAAGTAGAACTATGTATCGCAGTTTTCCAACCCTATGACAAGGCAAAGAAAATACAAAAGCATTCTTGAATTCAATAGAAAATAAAACACAAAAATATCTCCATGTGAAACTGAAGATATAGAGTCTAGTAGGACTCTATATCTTGTAAAATAGAAACTCAAGAAAAGAAAAGAAGGATATAATATCAGCAGAAACAAAGACTGATAAAAAGAAGAATAAAGCTACAACGTAAAAAGATAAAAATAGAGAAGAGAAGCAGAAACTCTCTAACCTATATAAAATTACAAAGAAGTGTTTAAGAAAAGACTACAATAATTATAGAATGAAAATTATAGAATCAAATTTATTAAAGTCTGAAAGCCAAAAAAGGGCGTTTAAGCAACTTATTACTAGCAAAACAAACTACAATCGAATCGCTACAATTGAACATTCCAAACAAACATATGTTAACAAGAATTGATATAGATAAAGCTGCTTCGGGTTTCTACAAAAATATATATATCTACCAAAATTGTAGCAAAGAAATTGAACTCAAGTTCACATCTCAAGAACTCTACTACCAACTCGCTCAGTCAAACCGTTTGAAGAGAAGGAAATAATAAAACAAATACACATGCTCAAGAAAAGAGAAAATTCCCGGACTTGACAATATACCTAACGAAGCTCGGAACGAAGCTCAAACTAGGAAAATTCATACTGGCCAGACCACAGATTTTTACAACAAAACCTTGCTAGAACAAAAAGTACCTTTGAATTGGTCAGAGTTGAGAATCATACTTCTTTATAAGAAAGACGGACGATTAGATATGAACAACTACCGGCCTATCAGCCTACTTCCTAATATATACAAATTATTTGCAGCCTGCTTAAATAACAGAATAGAGACAGAGATAGATTCACATAAACCTATAGAACAGGCAGGCTTTAGAAAGGGCTTTTGCACAATCGGTCATATTCACATTTTGCAACAAGTAATTTAAAAACACCAGGAACATCAACAGCCCCTATATCTAGCCTTTATCGACTACGCAAAGGCCCTCGACTCTATCTCACAAAACATCCTATGGCGAGCGCTAAAAAACCAAAATATTCCAAAAACCTTTACAAACATCCTGAAAGACAACACTCGATAGGCTTGAACCAAAATCGAAATATGTAGAGGCGTGAAACGGGGATGAAACGGGAAAAAAAACAGGATGGAAAGACTTACATTGACAACATAAAGGTATCAGCATAAATGGAAAAAATTTGAGTAACCTTAGATTTGCCGATGATATAATACTACTATTCTCGAGATCACCGAAACAACTAGAATAAATGATATCAGAACTATGCAAAATACAGAATAGAACGACAACTAAACACAATAAAAAATAAGGTAATATCTAACCACAGGCAAACGCCTATACACGTTAACAATTTACAGAGCTTATAATACGTAGAGAGCTACATATTCCTAGGGAAATCCATCTCATTTCTTAATTCTAGAAACAAAGATGAGATTGAAAGGAGAATAAACATAACATGGAAAAAGTTCTGGAGCCTAAAAGAAATATTTAAGTCTAATCTACCTGCAAAACTGAAAAAGAAAGTCATGGATGTATGTTTACTACCCTGCTTGTCATACAGATCACAAACCTAGATTTACAACAAAAATGCGACAGACAGAATATAGAAGACGCAGCGTGCTATGGAAAGGAGTATCTTGAATATAAGGATGAACGATAAAATAAAATCAGAAAACTAAAGAAAAAAACCAAAGTGATAGATGCTCTACAAAATATGAGAAAGCTCAAGTGAAAGTGGACTGGCCACGTAGCACGTCTGTCAGATAAAAGATGGACGCATTTAGCCACAATGTGGGCAGGTCCAAGAGCCAAAAGAGCTAGAGAACGTCCTAAGGAATGCTGGGTAGATGAGATCAAAAAATATGCTGGTAACGACTGAACAAAGGAAGCAAAGAATGAAAATCCTGGAAACTGTTGGAGGAGGCCTATACTTGCCAGGGGCCCTAACTTAACTATATAAATGTGCATTATATTTTAATATGTATAATCTTATTATAATCCAAAATTTAATTTAGTTTAAAAGTCTGTAAGGTAAGGAAAATAAACAGACTTTATTATTATTATTATGGGGTATTAATAGAGTATTCTCATCTGGTTGAGCTCAATAAATATATAAAAGGAAATGATAAATATACATAAATATATATAATAAAAGCCCAACCAGATGGAAGCCCTCGGCAGGGGATACCAAACGGCCGAGGGTTAGGGGGAAAGGGAAAGAAATCGGCGAACGTTGCGGGCGGTATGGAGGGCATCGCCTTCTGCAATTGAGCCTGGAGCAGTCTGTCACGTAGTCCCAGTTGCCTCAGATGATCCGAGAGGATGACTGGTATTAGCCCATTTGCAGAAACGACCACAGGAATAAATTTCGGTCGGCAGACCACCCCACATGTTGGTCACTTCGTGAACCAGGTCCAGATATTTTGTTTGCTTATATGTTTCGATCTTCACGAGGTTCTCGTCATACGGAATGGTAATGTCGATCAAAACTACTAACTACTAACAAAAATATCCTTGACTGTGCCCGGACCATCAGCACAATATCAGGCTTATTCGCAAGAATAGTCCTATCTGTGATGACGGCCCGGTCCCAATAGAGTCTGGTGTAGTCATTTTCGAGCACGGTTTCCGGCAAGTCCTTGTAATACGGTAATTTCCGGTCCAAGAGACCGTATTCCAGAGCGAGCTTCTGGTGTAGAATTCTGGCAACTAGGTTGTACCTGTGCAAGTACTCACAGTTAGAAAGCGCCGAACAACCGGAAATGATGATTTTTTTTTTGAATTTATTTAATATAAGAAAAAAAAATACATAAAATCACAATTTAAACATCACAAAAACCCTTACGGGTTTGTCTGGATGTTGAGACACTTTTGAGCAATCTGTTGACATTAGTTTATACGTATTATTATTTAATAAGA